AATCCCCATTCTTACCCTCCGGCCTCACCTCCTCCTCCTCCGTTCCCCTCTGGCCTCCGCACTCGACCATCCCTTCACCCTTCATGATCACCTCCCATCCTATCTCCTCCCGCCTCACTGCCCCATCCCTTCATACACCTCGCGCGACCTCCCCGTCCCTCCTTGCCCACGCGCCTCCCACCCCCCTAAGCTCTCCTTGGCCTTCCTTCTCACCGCCTCCCTACTCTGCTGCACTTCCATGAGCGTTCCTCTCTCCCCCGCGCCTGCCACCCCCTCCTCCTCCTTCAGTCCCCCTTTGCCCCCTTCCCCACTCCGTCGCCAGCGTCGTCCTGAGGAACTTCACATGGGCACATTAATATTAACTCTTTTCTGTAACATGTTAACTCTTTTCTGTAAAATATTAACTCTTTTCGGTAACATGTTAACTCTTACAGCTAACATGTTAGTTGTAAGAGTTAACATATTAGCTGTTAGAGTTAACATGTTACCCATAAGAGTTAACATGTTAGCTGTAAGAATTAACATGTTATCTGTAAGAGTTAACATGTTACAAAAAAAAGTTAACATTTTACAGAAAAGAGTTAACATGTTACAGAAAAGAGTTAACATGTTACAGAAAAGAGTTAATATGTTATAGAAAAGAGTTAACATGTTACAGAAAAGAGTTAACATCCACTGACATGAGAAAGAGGAGGGTAAATTCGGGATTTAAGTCAGCTGATATGTCTAATCATGAGCTGGCATGTCTAATCAACTGCTGAAATGGGCTGGAATCATGATGGAGGAGTGATGGAGGGGCTTGGACACATTTTTTTCAAAAAGGAGGGGCTAAAGAATATTAAAAAAAGTAGAAAGGGCTGGGGCACATTAAAAATATAAATTTGGGGCCTAGAAGCAATTTTTCCAATTTAAATCTAGTAATCCAAGAGTGAATACAAAATTCTAGTGGAAACTATATCCTCATGCGAGGGAATAGATAGTTCTATCCCATGAATGACATAGAACTAGGCTGGATCCGAGGAAATATTTCGTAACTCAAATCTATAACCGATGTGATATAGTTACGGATATAGTTTTGTAGTAAAATATTCAAATCTGTATCCGAAATATCTCATATTAGTTATATTGTTACAATAGTTTTAATCCTTAGATTATTGATTTGAGGTTAATTTTGATGGTCAAGATGTCTAATCTTAGCTTCTTAGATATAATGAGCATATTAATGAATTCTTTTGTATCACATGAACTATATTTTTTAATATTATATTGTTCTCTCATATTCGTTTTGTATCCGCATGCATATTCGCTCATATATCCGTAAGTATATCTGTATCAGTATCCGATTTTAGCGGATATGATATGAATCATCATCACCAAGATATATCCGTATTAAGTGGATATGAATATGATAAGTATCATATCCGAGTTGTATCCAAACCGAATGTACCCCTACATAGAACCATACGCTCTCATGAGATAGTTTTGATAGAATCTGAACTCATCTAAGAATTGTTATCTTTTTGATGTACCAAGAGCGTTGTGAGCTAAAGGATTGCATGCTTTTTACTATAATTGTCTAATTCTATTAGGTACCGTTTGGCAAAGGGTTAAGTGATGGGTTAAGGAGACTTAACTCCTTCTTAACCCGCCAAACACAAAAAATCTATACAATAGTTAAAGTGAGTTAACCCTCCAAATTTGTCAAACATAAAAAATATAGAAGGGTTAAGTTAACCCATCTAGATGGATTAAAATGAGTTAATCCCTCAAAATAAGGGGTTTACTAATACTCCTATTTAGAAGGATTAAGAGTTAACTCTTCTAATTATAAAGAAAATAGTCAAAATGATTGCTATTCCTAAATACTAAAACTGATCACAAGTGCTAAAATAAAATTTATTTAACTGGTTAATAATTTAGTCCTTCAGTTTATCGAATGGGCTAAGTATATTAATACTTTTAAATAACCCCTCTTCATTGACCCTTTGCCAAAACGGGCCTTAGAGTGTCCTCTCTGTCATCTTAACATACCACTTCATTGTTGTTGTTTTTTTCCTTTTTAATATGAATGTCAGTTCAATGTATTTTATCCATTGAATAGCATCCTTTTTTACTATAAATGGTAGAATACGAGGTGCCTTTTCAAGGATTGATTGCAGATGCACTGGTAGTAAATAGGGGTTACGTAACTACTCGCCCAGATGAATAAACAGGAAGCTCTGACGAAGCCATGAAAACATAAGCCCATGCAGCTTCAAATGCTACACCATAAGCCAAATCACCAAATAAAACGGCCATTGGATAATGAATAGTCAAGCAAATAAATTACAAGAGGGGAATAAAACTGAAACAGTCAAAGAGAAAGTTACCATCCACACTTTTTACAAGCCAAATCAACCCCACTACATTGAGGGAGAAAGAAAAAAAAAGAAAAAGAACAAAGAGGGCCTTGAATAACCTAAAGTGCGATATACTGTCTCCTGATTTTTCTTAACAAATGAGATATATTCTCTCTGCAGTTTTACAGTCATGCTACCGTAAAATAAATCAAAATATATAGAGCTATTTTCATCTTCAATCTCTTGTAATAATCCTTCATCATACACCACCCCCTCTTATAGATACAGGTGGAACTCTAACCCCTAAGCTCGCCTTGATTATAAGATTTGAATCAAGGTATAGAACGATAACGGTTATATCATCATGAAAATGTCTACGAACACCTCGGTCTATCTTCTTGAGATCCGAGTATCTCATCTCCCTCTTCTTTGCTGCCTCTTGCAGTGCAGTTTTCACTAATCTCCGAGCACTACCCTGCAGATATCAAGTAGAGCTCCATTGTAAGTAGCGCAGTAAAATAGCTTTTAAAGTCGATCTGACAACTTGAGAACTAATCCAGGTTAGTTTTAAACCGGGAGGGGGTTTTGGTTTATTCCAAGCCCAGTTATTGGGCAAAAGTGACCAAACAAAAAACTGGTAAAGTCCCGTCTTTTGGTTTTGCCAAACTAGGATTATTCCTGGTCTGATTATTGTTTCACTTGATTTGGTGAACTCAGTTTGCCAAACACTGCCAGAGTTTTTTTTGCCCCCGGAATCTTTTTAAGGAAGAGCTCTAAAGCCTTTTAATATGCATGGAATATAGAGAGGGAAAAAAGGGAAATAAATTATGTGGAGCTTTGATGATTTAGACAGTACATAAAAATTTCATCCATATTCTTTGGTGGTGTTGGCATCTAAAGACTAACATCTTTGCTTATTTCATCCTTCATAACCACAAGTCCGTAACTAAAGCAGGTCATTAGTTTCTTAATTATATTTTATTTATTTCATTGTCCCGTGCACATTATTTACCCTTTAAACAAACTAGATGTATATCAATTTCGCGTACTTTTCTGTCCGTCTCACTTTCCTTTAGTAGTTTCAATCAATTTACTAATGTCATAGACATCTAGGCTCACAATGTTATATCTGACAAATTTGTTTTGTTTGTTCCTTGATCTTCCATTACTACAAAGTTTTAAAATAGCATGCAAAAAGCACATGATGAACCACATGAATCTTCTAAGTTGACAATTAATGAATAATTTATAATGTATAAACCTCTGTCTGCATATGAAAATAGGGAAAAAAAATTTTGACCAACAGAAATGCAGTAAGTTGAAGAAATTCAGAGCCAGCTCTTTTTACTGTATTTTTTGTAAAAGGTAAAACGGCTTTCTTAACGTTAGTCTGTCACATACTTCCAAAATTTTAAATTAGTCCCTCAAATCATTAAAATTGCTATTAGTTTTCTCGATCCTTTTGAAAGTAATCCCTCAAATCATTGAACTTGCTACTACTTCCCCCAATTTTCAAGTTATTTTTGAAATTAGTCCCTCAAATCAAAAGTAGTAGTAGTAACTAGAGGAACTGACTTTAAACAAGTTATGAGAATTGGGGGACCTAATAGCATTTCAATGATTTGAGGGACTAATTGCAAGATAAAATAAAAACTAGAGGACCTAATAGCAAACAGCAAATTCAATGATTTAAGGGACTATTTTCAAAATATGAAAGATTTCAAGGACTAATATCATAAAAACCCCAAGATAAAAAAGAAGATGGCATTGGGAAAAGCTTACATTTCGAGGATGATTCTTAACAATGTCAACTGCTTCCTGGTTGCTAAGGTGCTCCCATAGACCATCTGATGCAAATATCAGAAACTTATCTTGGGGCATTAATGGTTGCACAGTAATTGCTGGCTCAGCACTAAGTATGGGCTTTCGAATAGGATCCCGTAGACGAAACTTTGCGAGTAAAGGCTCCCTGTTAAACTCCGCTCTCTTTAGGTAGACATCACCAATTGATCTAGAAACCTGAGAGGAAAGAGTACTTTTCATTAGGACTAAAGAACTGCTCAAGAAAAATTCCAGTATGCCATGTAAAAAATGTTGATCTGATGACTGACTCTCCAGCTTTTGAACCAAAAAGCCATGTATATGAATAGCAGTATGCAGCACTATTTACTATATTTCAAACGTTATACAGAATAACATGCATGCGCACACGCACAGGTATCCTTCACCGGAAATCACAAAAATAAAAAGGTTTGCACTTATTAACATTGTTTCTAGCCCCCCCAAGAAAAGGTCAATAAGCCACCAAAAAAGAATTTTAGTGCCCATAATGCAAAATCAGCAAAGGGGCATAGACAAATTGATGATATTCATTGACTGCCAAACTAGTTTCAATTCATAAGAAAATAAGGATGTACTCTGTACTGTAAAGATCATTTCGCATACTTTTGAGGATCTTTTTGAAATTTCCATAGCAATTGGAGAGGTTTTGGTTCAAACAACATGACAACCACCCCACCTGGGCTACTACTGCTTACCCATGTAAATTATTGAGATATCTGAATGGATGATAGGGAAGAAACAAGTGATGGCTCTATGACAACAAAGCCTTATCCCAATATCTTGACATTGATCCACAACATTAAAGTCTATATTCCAGCTTTTGCAGTAAGATACATGCATCCTTATCTGCCATTTTGCGTTGACTACTATATGCTTTTGCGTCCATATGTATTTCTTTATACCTAATTTCTTGTGCTCATCCCTCCATTAACTAGGATTTGTTGCTACTCCTAACAGGTGCACTTATGGCATTAAAATACAATGCATGTTGTTCTTAAATATCATAAATCCATGCATATAATAAATAAAAGACATAATCAAATGGTAGTGAATACCTGGATAATTCCCTTCACACGCCATACATTATGCTTCAGAACTACAATCTGCGGATCGTCCGGATGCAATGAACGTAGTTCTTGTCTAACAGACTCGATACTTGCATTGTGCTCAGCAGACAACTGGACTGCTAAAACCTCCCTAGTTGCCTTGACCGCTCTCCCTAAAACAACACGGGAGTCTCCAAGATTAGCAACATAAAGAGTTCCTCCAGAGACTATGCCAATAAGACAACAAGAACCAACAGCAGCAATCTGAGGTTTCAAGAGCCATTGTCTTGTGACCAGTGAGATAAACCCATCCTCTGTCGCTTGAAAAGCCCTCCGTATCACATCAGCAGACATTGATTGTTGCTCTGATGTAAACCCTGCATAGCAGTAGTTAGCTTGTAGCTTAAAATATTCATTATGGTCAAGGAAAAGACACATATATCCTCGCAACTAAATGGCCATTAATTAAAATAAATGGATGTAACACATAAATAATGATGCCCACAAATCATGCACCAACCATTACAAATGTCCATTTACAAAGAAATTGTTAATTGTGATAAGAGAATCAAGCAATAATGCAGCTCACAGATGATTGAACATGTTTAGCTATCCATTAGGCTGTAAATCTTAGAAAAGCTATCAAAACTGGGCAAGGAGAAATGAAAAAATGACACAAGATGTTACCTTCATAACAGAAAAGACTAAATTCAGTAGATAATAAGGGGTCGAAGATGGATTCATATTCTGAGGGATTCGACTAGTTTTTAGGCTAGATGCCCTCTCCTTTATACAGGCTTGGGGAAGACAGTGAAAGAATAAACATTTAAGTTGGCTGAGTTGGTTCTGAAGAAAGATATAAACAAATTTGGAGCAAAATTCACAATCTAAACAATTTAAATTTTACATAACAATAATAATCAAAAGTAGAAATAGAAATCATGAACAAATCACTGAAATATGAAATACAGTGAAATCTGCAGCACAGTGCTAGAACCTTAATCTTGATATGAGATAAGAGATTCACATTATCATATACCATAACAAACACAAACATAATTACACAATAACAGGTATAAATAATACAACAAACATTGAAATGCACTGAAATAATGCAGCACATAACTAAAACCTTACTCTTGATATGCTGAAATAGATGATCATTGATATACTTCGACGTCTCCGGGCCTCCATGGCCATCATAAACCCCGACGAAGGTCCCGTGGGGTCCGGACTCCAGGGAACTCAGCGGGCCCGACTCGAGCTGGCACTGGTCCTCCAACAAGTTGTTAGCTTGGACCACAGCCATGGAGAACTCTCCACTGACATGACGGCCGGAGTCCTTGTACCACAAAAGCCCGTCTTGGCGGCCCGAGAAGTCCGAGCCTGCGGGCCCGTCTCGACCCGGTCGCGGGCCCCAACAGGCCCGCAGGAGGTCTAATAACCGAGATAGCATCCCTCATCTCACCCAAAATCTCCTCCGTGTTCTTGACATAGGCATTGATTTTTTGGAGGAAAAGATAAAATTCTTTGTATCTGAAGAAGAAACCCCAGATCAATAAACCAATCAATTACTCTTTCTACAACGCAAAATTGAGCAAAATAAGAGAGACCCAATTCCCTGTCTCCATCAAATAAAAAACCCCATGAAGAAAAAACAAGAAATTTCCAATCTCAATAGGCTAATATTATGAATACAAGAACTAACCTTTTATGGATTTGAGGTTGAGTGAGCTGGTTTGAACTTACCCAGCGAAATTATCGAAGTGAAGATAGCCCTTAGATCTGGAGATCCAGCAAACGGAAGGATGGGCCTCTCTAAATCCCCCCCACACACAAAAACTGCTTGAGAGAGAAAGAGCTAAGATTGGATTAGACTTGCTTAGAGAGAGAAGGAGAGGGGAAAAAAGGTGTCTTTTGTTTGCAACCAACTTGATGGGTCTCCTCGAGTTTGAGCGATGGAGGGAAGCTTGGAAAGAATAAAAAAAAGCTCGTCGTCTCTCCCAAGCTCTCTCTCTCTCTCTCTCTCTCTCTCTCCAGCGAGCAAGGAAGCAATAAAAATGGCGAAATCTTAGAGAGAGAAAGGGTCTATGGAGGACAGCCAGAGGAGTCAAGAGAAGTAGCCGTGGGCTCCAGCTCGTCTCTGAGTCATCTCCCGCAAGCCGAGGGAGGGGGAGGAAAAGGGGAAGAAATGGTGGGGGAATTTTTTATTTTTATTTTTTTGGGATGTAGTTTCTATTTTTAATTTGTCTAATTTTGGATCTATTAATCTTTTTTATAATGTTTATTAGCATGTGTTTTTATTGCTTAGTAATAGGTAGGGTTGTTGTTAGCATTATTTTGTAATAGAAAATAACTAGTGTGAACCCCATGCAAACCATTACTTATTTTTTCCTCCTGCTACAGTAATCCCAGCATTTAGTTGTTGCGTTATTTTGGATTGCTACAGTATCACCGTGCTACAGTAATAGTTTTCAAAAAACTAGCGTCCAGTTTCATGTTTGCTACCTTAAATATTATTGTAGCATTTACTGTAGTATGAATAGTAAATCTTGGGTTCTCTCATTTGCACAGAGGAGTAGATTTAGAATTATATTATTTTGTTATCTATTCCTTTATACAAACGGGAGAATCCAAGATTCACTATTTTATGCTATAGTAACATTTAATGTATTATAATTACTGTAGCAGCCAGGAATGGGGGTGCTGCAGCATTTTGAAAATTACTGATCTTAAAAAATCACTGTAGCAAAGCGGGATACTGTAGCAATTCGGAAACACTGCAACAGAGCGGATACCGTAGCAATTCAAAAAAATCAAAAAATATCGTAGCATAAAAAACCGGGATTACTATAGCGGGAAGAAAAAAATATGTCGTGCTTTGCATGGTGTTCATACTAGTTGGCGTAATGAACAAAAACAACACAAATTGTTGGATGGATATGCATGTGGAAAATTTTAAAAGCATATGAAAATAAGACGGGGGTGAAGTGATATATTAATAAAACGGATGTTGAATTTTGATAGTAATGGAATTTGATAGAGGTGTCTTCTATTTCTAATGTGCATACAAATTATGTGCATAAGTAGTTAATAAGGATTTTGATCACAAATATTCCTTCATTTCAACTAGTCAATTTATGCTTCCTCTTTGATTTAGCTAATACGTGTATGGATACTTAAACTAAAAGCTTAAGCAATACTCTTTTCATATTTTTGTTAATGGATCAATTATGACTTATCAATTATGTGCATAAATTAGTCCCAAATACATAAAATAAGTACCATTTGCCTAGGATTGGATCAAGATGTGAGTACCGTCGGCCACCATTCCAACTAGTTGATAGTAAAAAATATTCCACGGGCTCATATAGTAGACATCCTGATTTATAATAATAGGGTTTTCCAATATGAAGAATTATATTATAGCTTGACCAACATTGTGGATCATATACGATAAATGATATAGGAGACTTTATATATGCATAGAGCTTTCTGGAATGCTAGCAAACTTGCGTATATGATCAGTTCATTTTCTTATCAACTGGACACCGATCATACAAAAAATTCAGGGGGGTATAGACATATTCTGCTGCCTAGAAACTTTAAAGTTATCATGAAGTTTTAGAAATAAATTTTATATTCTAACATGTCTCAACAGGTTTAGCGTTATTCATGACCGAACCATTGAGTCATCCATCAAATTTATACATACAAAAAATACAAGGAACCAATTGACCTTTATAGGTTTCTAACATCACGTGGGGAGCACAAATTTCTCATATGTGACATATAGCTTAGCTTATGATAGTTCGTTTGATTGACTTGATATAATAGATTCAAGTGTGTCGATAATAGTACTACTGTTCAGTCTCTATATATCTATAGCGCATAGCTCATTGCCAGCTTGAATCAAATGTATAGCAAACTAAGTCACATGAAGAATTAATACGTATGAAGGGTGACAATCAACGAATGTCTTTGTTGGTGTATATACAAAGTAATTAAGCAGATTCTTTCCATGAAGAATTAGGCCTTCGTAGATCTTTTTTTGGGTGTATGCGCAAAGATGGCTATTAGGTTCCTTTATGTCTTCAACACTTTGAAATCAGTCCCTCAAATAATTGAAATTGCTATTCGGTACCCCGATTATTATAGATTGTTTTAAATTAACACCTCCTAGCATTAACAAGACATAAGAATGGGTTGGTAATTTCAAACTATTAAAGACTCAAAGAGACTAACATAAAAAACCCTTTAAATAGTTAAACTTGTATAAACAACTGCAGCTTTAAAATTACAAAACACCCTACTTGTATTAAAAAAGAAAAAATTGTGTCAAGGCCACAATATGAAGAACACCATGTGACAACCTTTTCCCACTGTGGATCAGACCCAAAACAACCCAGTTAATGTATCCGGGCCCCTCCACATCAACACTATATAGGAAAGCTATTGTATTTCCTCATAAACCCTAAAATGTCATTCTCCTTCCCCATGACGCAGCGCCCCCATCAATTCACAATATCTGCGAATGTCAGATCGCATTAGTGGCGATCTAATGGTGGAATTGGAGAAAAATATCCCCTCATTTTCCTCTATCACGAGCAATAACTCTTTATCTAATTTTTTAGGGTTTTTGCTCTTCAACTATCAATACCCCTCCATTACTCCTTCTATTTTCCCTTCATTAATGGCTGAGAAGGATATCATCTGCATGGTCTCCTCAAGTAATAAAGCAGTTTTCTTAAAGATTAACTCTTCAACCATTATGACAGAACTGAAATTGATGTGTCAAAGAGGTTAAAGCTTCCATACAATTCTTTATCATTGGCATACAAAGGTGAAACAAATGGTAACTTCAGTTTTGCGATCGAGAATGAAGATGATATGTCGTTAATCGTGGAGCATAGCTGCAATATCGGGTGTAAAGAGATTCATATGAAAGCTTTTCAGAAACCAAAGGATTTAACTTTCCGTAACAACTAGCAAGTTCCACAAGACCTGTAAGTTATCAGTTTTAAAAAAAAACTTGTAATTTCTGTTTGAACACCGTGGAAAGAGGAAATTTTAAAGAAATAGCGGCTAATTGTGATTTCTGTTTGATAATTTTTGATGTTAAGTTCAATATATATGATGTTAATATCTTTTTCAAATTCCTCCTCAACTACCACCTGAACTTCCTCCTTAATAGGAACTTCATCCTCAACTTTCTTCTCAACGGGAACTTCATCCTGTATAATTAACAAGAAACAACTTACATATAACATTAAATGATTCAAAATTATACTTAACATGAATCTAATAGACTTAACATAAAAAAAACTAAAACTTCACAGTCAATAACATACGTTTAATACGAAATGAAATAGACTTAACATGGAATTTACAGGAATTAGTGGCATGCATTCAGAGATATATGTAACTCCTAGCTTCTTCAAACCCTCCAAAATATTTTTAATGCCTCTAATAGTTTCTGTATAAATGAATTTTCACATGCAATTTTGTTCACCCTTTAAATGTTATCCACATACTTGAATAATAGTCTAGGGATACCTTGACCGCTTCTGGGCACCATTCTAGTAGATCTTCAATGTATCTTCTAATGCTCATTGGTGCTCTTTTCTTGTCCGTTCTCCCCCTCTTTCTTTGATTCCACAAGACTTTCTAGAAGATCTTCAACGTATCTTCGAATGCTCATTGGTGCTCTTTTTTTGTCTGTTCTACCCCTCTTCATTTTTAAATAGTTTAGCAAAATATTCCCTTCATATTTTGTTTTTAGGGTCCCGATTGGTATAAATAATTTTCCCGTCAACTGAGAAACCAGTATGATTATGAACCCAATCCAAGTCAAAGTTAACAATTCTTTTTTTTTTCCGGTTTTAGCATCAAGGATAGAAAATATTTCATTACTAACATCATAATAACCCAACGCTAAACTCAAGTGTTGGACGATCAATTGCAGGAGCACCAAAGAGAATATAATGTTCAAATGTGGATCCCTCATATGCATCCCAATGCTATTGACACATCTTAGGGGCAAGATGCTTTATAAATTCACGATATGCACCAAAACTGATAGTTGG